TCTACGTACGGATTCCACGAAGCAATTGAACCACGCTTGAGCTTTCATTCTAACTGCTATGCTTCTAGGTCCTTCTCGGTGTCATGTCTGGTGCTTTCCTGATTGCCGGATGGTGAGCATCCCTCCCGAAATTGCCTTACAATGCCTCAATGCCCAAATGTCTCGCCCCATTTGCGCCACTGTGACGTATCAGCACTTCTGGGATTTTACCTAGTCTACCTGCAACCTACCTACCACTCTCAATGGCACATGCACATGCAATGAAAAGCAAGTACCACGATCGCTAATCAGTTCGGCATTCGCCATAATAGGTACTTCGGCCGCAAGCCCACCTCCGTGAACTCTGAGAGCAACGTTCGCATTGGCGATAGCGCCATGCCCTGGCACGGCGAGTCCGAGGATGGCAAGGTCTACAAGTACCAGTACCACCCCCACGGTGACAAAAGCCAGCCCCTCCGCGCTGCTCCCAGCGCCATGAACACCGTCATTGTTCCCAATGTCACCCTTCCCGAGGTATGAATTCACTAGACCTTTTTTTATTTTATGCCATACGAGGGGGCACTCCAGAACTTTTTCAGGGTGTCATGTGTGATTGCCTCGGCTATTTTGGTAGGAAATGCTAACATTAGCTTCTTTCTAACAGGACCTCCACGAGAAGTTCAACAAGTACGGCAAGGAGGAGTGGGACTACTGAACGGCCATTGATTAGCCATAGGAAGTGCCTTGAGAAGTCAAATGAAGCGAACCGCCGTTTCTTGCGGCCGGCTGCTGTACACTAAGACCGGGGAAAGAAGAGTGCTACGTGAACTTGCCATTGGGATAGCAAGAGATTTGTGCATAGTATCCGTATTCAGATTAAGAGTCAATTGGGAATAGCTCGCTTTCTTGCGTTATATCCGTATCCTGCTGGCTTGGTTACAATATTTGAATTAGCAATCTAGAGCCATGCCTTACAAACCAGTTGCCCAAACGCTAAAAGTGGCCAACTAACTGCCTATGATGTTATGAATATAGCACAAAATCCGCGGATATCAGTGTCAATTCAGGCAACACTAAGAAAAAGCTAACATGAAATAGAGAAATGGACAAGTACTCTATGGAGTCTCATTATACATGGCAGAATCCGCTCTCCTCTTACACTTTTATCTTCCACACGAGCACTATTTAGTGGCTTCGTTACCCTCGCTAGCAGGCTTAGCTTCCATAGAGCTTGACTGCTCAACAGAGCGGTCGTTGCCATCAGCCACAGACGCGGGGCTCTCAGGGGGCACGGAGTCCTCGGGCGCACTGCCAGTCTCTGGATTCTGGCCTTGCACATCCGGGTGCGGGGGCGCGAGCTGGCCATCGACGACGGGAACATCGTGGGCATTCTGCAAAGGCTGACCAGGCTCGTAGCGAGTCTCGAACTTCACCTTACCTTCTGCTCGGAGCGAGGCTACCAGGTCCTCGTCAAGAACTTTGCCGTTCTGGTCGCGGTACTCAACACGTGCCACGGACCCTTGGATCTTGGGCGCGGTGACAGCCGCTGGGTCTGATTCTTGAACAGCCTCACCGGCAGGCGCAGGTGCAGGCTCTTGGACCTGGACTGGTGGTGGGGGTGGGGGTGGCGCTTGAGCTGCGGTTGTAGGCGCAGCCACAGGCGGCAGACTCGGCACGTACTGTGTGATGTACTGGCTCAACTAGTGACATTTAAAAGTCCATGTTAGTCGTGGTCTCGTCGATTCGTTCGATGACCTCTCCGGGGAGGTCTCCATTCCGGAACACTTACGTCACTGTGAAAGGTGTTGCAGTCGAAATCCCAAGATCCGAGCAGCTTCACCTGGTTACAGGCATCCCTAGTCCATGGGTTTCCATAAACGAGTGGGGCGTAGAGGGTGAACACAACAATGCTAAGACCCAGGAAGATTGTCATCAGAGCCTTGCCGATCAGAGGCTTCGACGCAAGCCCGAGGCTCTTAATGCGGTTTGTGAGGAAATCAATTTCTTGGCAGAGGACCATAATGGCGAAGTAAAGGGCGGGGAGATAGTGGTGCAAGAAGAGCTGGCGCGCCATGAGGTAGAATGGGAAATAGTGGAAGAACCAACCCAAAACACTGGTGCCAACCTCGTAGTCAAAGCGCTTGAATGAAGCGTGCTTGTAGTCACCACAGCTTCGCTGCCACCTAACAATGGAGAGAGCCTTGAAAACGAAATAGATTCCAATGGCCAGAGTGGTTGACCACCAAATAAGCGGGTTTCCGAGAAGGTAAATTTGGCGGTTGTCTTTGCCCCAGAAGTTGATGCCACGAAGGAGGGTAGGCCAGGAGGGCGGGCGAGAATCCCAGGCATGGGACTCAACCAAGCCTGCGTTCGTGGTCCACATGACCTTCTGCAATTCCCAGAACTTGCCCAGGAAGCCGGGGTTCCGATAGTTGACTCGCTCGGCGTCAGGGGCCATGGCGGGGTGCTGGTTGGACTCTATATACCAAACGCTATTGGGAAGAGTACCGCCCTTTGCGCAAGTCACTTCCTGCTGCTCCCATCCCCACTCCGGAAGCTTGACCTTGTGGGAAAACAGGACACAGCCAGTCATGACATGCACCAGCTTGAACTTGGACTGGATAGTTCGCAGGCGCTTCTTAGACTCCGGAGTCTCGGACAAGGACTTAACAATCTCAACCCTCCACAAGTCGTTGGCATCACCAGCGAAGCCTTCGTACCCATAGGCAGAGACCTCATACTGCCAGTCGGCCTCGGTCACCGGAGGGCGCTCGTCGTGTGAGTGAATTCTTCGGTGAGTGATCGCGTGGTAAAGTCTGATAATCGAACCATCCTCGATGAAACCAGGAGCAGTCAAGTTGTCCCAGGCAAATGGGCCCTCGACCTCACCATATGATCCAAGAGGCTGAGTCGAGTTCTCCAAAAGAAACACGTTGTTTTCATCCTTGTGGGGGTAAAGCGTGATTTGCTGCTGTTTGCTGCCCGTTGGGTACATGTGAGGGTGAGAGTGCAAGTAGCCGCCCTGCGTGTTCAGGTGGCGGAGGCTGACTCGGGATCCAAACGAGACATCTGCGGGAACATCTTGCATAGACTTTGAGTTCAAAGTTGCCTGGAATTCCGACGACATGAAGCCGTCACCTTCTCCAGGGTTGACCAAGCATGTGAAGTGAATGGCAAACATGGCAAGGTAGAAGCCTAGAGGAATGAAGATGAGGCAGAAGACCCGGGAGAAGAAATGCTTGAGCCACAGACGCTATCACAATCCTACTGTTAGCACAAAACAGGGCTTGATCTGAATCCGAAACACATACCAATGTGACATTTTTAGCATCACCCAACAATACCCACAACTGGAGAGCTGTGAGAGATCCAACCCAAGCCATAGTAAAGAGACCAACCCACTTCACGCTCAGGGTTGCGCCAAGAGAAAGACCGGTAAACACCAGCCAGAACCACCACGGGCCGCGGAAGGCATAAGCCGGTCCCAGCTCTTGTTGGTTGGTGAAGCAGCTGAAAGCCAAAGCTGTCAGGGCGGTAAAGAAAATTAATGGGGAGTCGAGTAGAATCAAACGGGACTGAGTGACCAAAGCGTTGTCAAAGATAACAAGACCAGCACCTAGGAGTGAAGTCGAAGTTCGGCACCCGGTAACCTTGAGAGTGAGGAACATCAATGGGACAGTCAAAACACCTAGGATAGCTGGAAGCATGCGCATCGCCACGTAGGGCACACCAGGCTCCAAATAATCCTTTCCAATATCCTTGAAGTCGAAGTTTCCGTCGAAACCAGCCAGCCAGCCAGCCAGCGTAAGCAGCAGTTTAGCTAGCGGGGGGTGCACATCCATGAAGAATTTTCCCTTGATGTATTTGGAAGCAAATCCACCAAAGCTATTCGAACGCAAATCATTAGTCTCTGTTCGTTTTTATTTCGGTGTATAACACAAGATTGGTGGGGAACGTACTGGACTTCATCGAAGACCACGCTGGTGGGCTGATAGATTCTGAATAGACGAACAACTGTGGCGATCAGAGTCACCAGCACAATAAGCTTATAGTCCGAGCCGGGGAGTTTGAAGATATCATTGTTCTTCACACCATCCGAGGCATACGTCTTCTGGGGTACCGGCAAAGGCTTGCGGCTCTTGGGTTTGGGCGACCGACTAGGCGAGCGCCTACCACGGCTCTGCGGCCGTACGGCTAGTGTGTCTTTCGCTTTCTGGGCCATATTGTTTCGATACAGGAATTAAACGACGTCAGCGGTTCAGGAGAATGGCGCGGGATTCGGAATGTCGAGGAGAGAAGATAGGCGATTTGCGTGTAGTTTGGTTATAGTTTAAATCGTTAATGAGAGGCTTCTCAAGGTTCAATGAACGAGTGGACGCTGTCGAAAGCTGCTTTCGACCTCGAGCTGTCAACTGTTCAATGGCTTCAAGCACCACACCAATTAATGATCGTGTAACAATGAGGAAAAAGGCCCCATGACAGGGAAGAAGAGATTAAAGAAAAAAAGGCTGTTGAAGGGAGAGTAAGAAAGAAAGAGGACGTTGAAAAAAACAAGAATAGAAGTGAACGCAGATGGACGAAAGCGTGCAGTCCCGCCTTGAGGCCAGATCAACGGCGGCTGTGGAGGTCAACATGTGAGCCCCTTAGTTTTTAGCCCCCCGTATTGTGACGGTCTTTACAGCAATGAGATTTAAGAGTTGAAATTCTATGGTTTTTTGATAACTATATGTATATAGGTATAGAATTAGTGCTTTAGAGATCAATTGGCTATATCCATGAAAAAAGAAAGAAAGAAAGAAAGTAAACATTACCCTATTCTGGACTGCATTTCAATGGAGAATGCAAAGACAGGAATATGGCCGCGCACGGGATGCACCGCCACAGTAGTGCACACCGCCACCATTCTGCCACTGCCTGTGGCGGTGACCCATTATGTGGCTAGTGAAGCTAGTCAGCAAGTCTTAGATCGTCTGCGATTCTACTACCAAGACCCCCATTCCTTCATATTCTCGCCATTCACCATGGAGTCGTCAAATGGAAGCACACCTCGCCCAGAGGCATCTGAGGGGACTCTGAAGCCTCCAGAGGGCATGGTTCTTCCCCCTAAGGATATCCGAAAAGCCATCGAGACCACAGCAAGTTACGTCGTTCGCCATAAAGGTACTTTTGAAGACCGTATCCGCCAGAAGGAAAAGAGCAACTACAAATTCTCCTTCCTGACCCCTGGAGACGCCTACGAGCCCTACTATCAATGGTACACAGCCGAATACAAAGCAGGCCGAGTAGCAGGACCAGGAGGCCGAGCTGGCGAGGCTGTCGCCGCCGCGGTCCCCGAAAAGCCCAAGGGGCCACCTGAACCGTCCTCATTCCACTTCTCGGCGCGCATGCCTATTATCAATGCACAGGATTTGGACGTGGTCAAACACACGGCTCTATTTGTCGCAAAGCGGGGGAAGTCATTCATGACTGCACTGTCGCAGCGCGAGGCCAGAAATTTCCAATTCGACTTCTTACGGCCACAACATAGTCTCTATCAATTCTTCACACGATTGGTCGACCAATACACTATTCTGCTTCGCGCCGAGGGAATCAACGAGGCGACTACATCCACGAAAAGAATCGCAGAATTGGAGCAAAATGCAAAGAACAAATTCCACGTTATGGAGCGTGCTAAGCAGCGGGCAGAATGGGTGAAATATCAACGGAAACAGAAGCAAGAGAAGGAGGAGAAAAGTGAACAGGAGCGCATTGAATACGCCCAGATCGACTGGCACGACTTCGTCGTGGTCGAAACCGTCGAGTTCACCGAGCACGACGACCACGCGGACTTGCCACCTCCAACCTCCGCAAATGACCTGCAGTCCGCCTCCCTCGAGCAAAGAGCGGCACTTTCTCTCAGCACACGACGTATCGAGGAGGCGATGCCCACCGGCCTCGACGAGCCCGTCTACTACAACGCCTACCCAGTCCAACCCACACCCGCACCCATGCACGCCCCTCAACCCCCAGTCTCACCCTACCCAGCAGGCCCCTACCCCCCCGCAGCAGGCCAGTATACCAACCCGGAAGAGGACCAGCGCATCCGCGAGCGAACCCAAGCGCGCGAGCAAGCGGCCGCCGCTCAAGCAGCGGCCCAGGCCGGCCCTGGCCAACAGCCAATGCGCATCAGATCAGACTACGTGCCCCGAGCCCAGGCGCGCCGCCAACAAGCCCAGATGGCGATCTGCCCTTACTGCAACCAGAAAGTACCCTCCAACGAGCTGGACGAGCACATTCGCATCGAGCTGCTCGACCCGCGCTGGAAAGAACAGCGTGCAAAGGCCGAAGCCCGCAGTGCCACCACCAACCTCTCCACTGTCGACGTGGTCAACAACCTCAAGCGTCTTGCAAGCCAGCGCAGCGATGTCTTCGATCCTTCTCCCCTGGACTCGGAGGAGGAAACTCGCCGCAAGCGACTGGCTATGGGTCTCGATGGCTCGGCTGGCCCCCAACACCCGAATGCTGCCGTACAGAACCCCAACCCTCAGAGTATGAATATCGAAGACCAGCTCAGACATATTCATCAGCTTGCCAAGAAATGATATCCCCCCATCTACATGAAGTCCGGACAGGATATTCTCGTTCCAAAATTGAGGTTTCGCGGGGTTTTTCTATTTCGAACGTATCTGTTCTGCCATTTGTGGAGTTTGGGAGGGATGAAATCTGGATGATGAGCTTCTTTTTTTCTATTTGTGTACAATAGCCCTCTTTTACTCTAACCTCACGAAACATCTTGTCTGGTCTATGCTTCTTTTCGTCGTCTTCATTATTTGATTCAGTCTATATTGCGTACGAAGTAGTGCCGATTCTTTGGACATAATTGTTACTCACATCTTCTACGGTATATGATCCAAGAACATATATCTTCTATGTATGTATGCAATTTGATTCAAATTCATCTATCATTTGTCACAATATTCTACCACCAATGGGGCCCGGGCCCGGGACCAGCATCGCTGCGAGTCAAAAGTGGGAATGAAGAAAGGGGGAAAAGAACAGAAACAGTGAAAATCCATAATACCAAACCTGGTCCTAATGTCCGCCGGAAAATAAAGGGGCAAGGGAAAAACAAAACACATTATTATGTATACATGATCGGAAGTGAAAAGGTTGATAATAATACAAGAGGCCATGTCGCTGAATGTGAAAAAAAAAGGGATACCCAAAAAGCCAGAACCAAGAGGAACATCATCAAGATGTAACCCAATGGGTGATTAAGGTAGAGGTGGAGGTAGAAGCAGAAACAGAAGCAACATCTCCAAAAGGCAGGTCTGTATCAATGACCGGGATGAAGTTGAAGAGAATTAAGTGACTGAAGAAAGAATGTAATGCCAAAGGGTGGGGGAAGACATTAGGCGGATCATAAAATGTTGGGTAAACCGTGTAGTCGTCTCACTCGTGTTGATCGCTTGTGATCAACCGAGGTCAAGAGTTGCTCAACCCATTAGGTTTGGCGATGTCTGTATCTGTATCTGTCTCTCGACTCTGGATGATCGAGGGCCCATTGAGGATGGGTTCTGTGGCACTCGGTTGAGCGATATCTGTGTGTATATCTGGACTATGAGCGATTGAGGGCTCGTTGAGGATAGGTTTCGTGGCACTGGGTTGAGCGATATCTGTGTGTGTGTCTGGATTATGAGCGAGTGAGGGCTCGTCGAGGACAGATTCCGTGGGATTGGCATCCACGTCGGCGCTAGCTTCTTCATAAACGCTTGCTACTGAATCAATAGAAACTCGCTTTCGTTCCGAACCACTCAAGGAAGCAGCATCGTCCCTATCATAGATAGAACTTTGAGGTCGAGGGAGATCAGGGTGAGTTATGTGGTCAGTAGCGATTGGTGTTTCCAGTGCCAGTTGATCCGCTGCTGGAGATACTTTCTCCACCCTGGGCTCGAGGTAAGTAACGTCCACGGGATGGAGATACTGGTCATCATCGTCATCGGGAGCGTCGGGATTAAATTCTGTGCTGGGCAGCTCCGCCTCTGGTTCGCTTGGGCGATTACACAATGGAACGATGCCTCCTCCGACACGAGACCAGAACATCCTTTCTCTGAGGCGGATGGTCTCATCCCAGATTTCCTTTTCTTCTTCGGTATCGCCAGCCCGAAGATGGCCATCAAGGATGAGACGCAAGTAGCCAGTGAACTCGCAACACGAGCGCACTCTCTCTAAGCAGAGAATACAAAGTGAGTACCTTTGAGCGGTCTCGCTATCTGACGTTCGGAAACGATGGGTTCTCTCGTTAGACGTGCCGGGCCTGCGTTCACCACAGACAGAGCAGGGGAAATCGAATTTCTTGGCTGCTGGGGGCATAGGCTCCACGACAAGACTTCCGTCACATATACTACTTAGAACGGTGCGCCGGGTCAACCATGAGATCCCCGGCGCTAGATCTAGTCTCAGTGTAGGTTCAATATCCTCCATGAGCACCCGCTTGTAGAAGCGAGTTTCCTTCAAGGAAAAGTTCGATCCCGTTGTGGAAGACGTGCTCCCATTGGGGGAATGGGTAAACCCTTTGGTGGGTGATGAGGTCGACGATGGAGATCCTCCACTAGCAAAGCTTGCCAGACCCATCACGTTCAGGCCACCATATGACCCACTAGCAGCACGGCTAGGAGGTTTGGAGCTCCGAGAGAGTACCAGCAGATCGCGGAAATCCTCATAAGCTTGCAAATCTGTCCGGCATACCATGCGGAGGAGATGCGGGAAGCCGGAGGAAGGGCCTGGAGTGAGCTCCTCGGGGCTACCAATCAATATAGGAACAGGCTCAAGGTCAGTCTCTTGGGTACTAGAGCCTTGCGCTTGTGAGAGCTCATCCGGGGACGATGGAGTGGCAGTGGCACGGCTTTCGACGTCATCTTTGTGAAGATTCATCGCTTGCATGACGGACTTGAGCTCGGCAAGCTGGTCCTGGTGCGATGCCAGGAGCAACTCGGTGTCTTTGACTTGTGAACGCAGCTGCTCATTCTTCTTCTCCACTGCCTCCCGTTCAATCTTAGCTGCAGCCACCATCTAAAGTAGCGTTAGAACTGGATTTTATGTTGCACATTGCAGGAGATTACCGACCTTATTTGCTTCTTCAAAAAGAGCCGCAGTAAGAGTTTCCACTTCCTGCTCAATATTTTTCCTGCCCTTCTCAGCAGCGAGACGCTGGATTGTTTCTTCCGCTAAAGAATCCCGTAATTGCGAAATTTCGCGATCAGAGTCGAACTTTTTGATATAGACTTTGTTATCAAGGTCTCGCCGATACTTCTCATTCTGGAACTCCAGAGCTTGAATCTTGCCCTGGGCAAGCTCTAGCTCTTGACGGGTAGCGACCAGGCTATCATCGAGGTCTGTTTGGTTGTTGATGGCCTGGATCAATTTCACAGACAATGCTGCTACTTCGTTACTCAAATCGGGGTGGTGAGACGATGACGTCGAATGTGAGACCTCGGACCCGACCATCAATCGTGGGTCCTGCAAGGTGCTGAAACTGCTTTCATCGAATCCGGGGTGCTTTGTTCCATTGGAAGAAGCGATGTCGGAGAGATTGGTAGTAGACTTCGCTTTGACGACGGTTCGGTCAGGAGATAACGACCGGTGCTCGGAGGAGAGTGACCTCTTGTGGGCGTTGCGCGGGATCATGTTGGATGGGGAGAAGAAGCTATGATGGGTGGTTTGAAAGGCAATTAAACTGCCCCACCTAAAGTGTCAATACTTGAAGTCCCAAACAGGACATCTTGATGGAGACTTACTCGGCCATGATGAGTGACGTAGAGGGCGTTCGGGGGGTAAGGGCAAAAGAGGGTTCGTCACCAGATCAAGATCAAGATCACGTCCAGAAAAGCTCCGGTAGACAAATTGCTCTTCACGCCATTCACACCAAATAGGTAAGTGTTAGAATAGAAAGGTCGCGCGTGCGCGGTCAAGTAGGTCCACGGGGTACGTAATAGGCTTAAAGATAGTGGAATCCGGATTTGGGAGTGGTTAGAGTCAGATTGCCGTAGACACAACAGAAATGAATGCGCTGAAAGTGAAGAGAATGATTGAATCGCCACAAACAGGTCTGATCGGAAATATCAGCCTGTTGAGGGTGTCGAGGAAGTCAGGGTTGCAGCGCGAGGATGAATCGAGGCTTAGTCACCCGGATATGAATGGATTAGGCACGGACTATTGAAGGATCGACTGCGCTATGCACTTGTAAGAAGGTGAAGATTTTAATCGTATGAGATGTGAACATTGGTTTTTGTTTTTCGAAAGGGAAAGACCAATGTGAGGGGACAAATTCAGCATTGCCACCCGGAGACGGAACGGGGACACCCCGGGGCGCTTCTGATAACCCTCTACCCTCTCGGGGGAATAGTTTGGAGCTAAGCCTGAAGCTATCGATCGGTACGGCGTAATTCACTTACAATTTGAGATTTACCCCTCAATGGCGCAGTATTTCGTACATTCGTGATGGATCCAAGATACCGTGCTTTTAGTGGCTGCCTGCGTGATAGGCGCTTAAGTACGGAGTACGTGTTTGGGTCTTACCACGTAAAACATACATAGCGTGACAATGCGAATATAGTAAGATACTAGTCCTAGAGGCCGATGCCAATTTAGATAAATCAATGTATGATTTATATGCGCCTATGTACAAAGGTGGTAGAAACATTGTAGTTCGTGTAATTCCCCCGCAGGCACTTTGCACTAATACTAGTACTAGTACGGATACGAGACTTGAACCCCGAGGCCTACATCCATGTAGGGAATGATATTAAACATGGAATAGTATGGTGTTAAACAGTTTATTGTCGATATTGACTATCTCTTATTATTGAAACATTTGGGAGAGTTTTTTTTAGGATTTTTAATTGTCTACTATAGACAGAGGGTGACAATTATACAAAATAGATAGATTGTAGTTGAATATATCTATAATTATAATTTCCAAGACAATTGGATAATTCAATCCCTCTACTCATCACTATATAACAAACTCGACCAAGCCGTTGTATACATATTCATAGTTCAAAACTACCCCGGAATAAAGTATGGTCCTTACACCCCTCCGTACTCAGGCGAGCCCAAGTGGGGTTCACCAATTTAATCCTCGACTCTTCAACATTTGAACAATCCAGGCCCCTCACTCTATTTGAATATCCACAATGGCAGACGCAGAGCTAGAAGAGGTCAGTCTCACAGCCATATCATGAAAGGTCTGCGCCCTTTAGGTTTGGTACTAAGAGAGGAAACAGATCCGACGAGCTCGTCTCGCGCAACTCCAGCAACAAGGACCCCGCGGAGGTGGTCCAGGCGGTCAGGATGGTGGCGAGCAGGCACAGCAGAGGAGGTAAGTGTTGGAATAGGTTACAAGAATATGCTATATGCTAACCCACTCAACTAGACAAGCAGAGGGTAGGTCTCAAGATCTAACGTTTCATCGGTCCATTCACATCCGATGGACTATAAGCAACGTCCTTGTGTTGCCGTATTTCTAACCCATCTTTGATTTATCTTAGCCGAACAACGTGCTTCGATCCTGCAACAAATCCTCGACCCCGAAGCCGCCGATCGCCTGGGCCGTATCCGCCTCGTTAAGGAATCGCGCGCAACAGATATCGAGAACCGCCTCATCATGCTCGCCCAGTCTGGACAGTTACGGGCAAAGGTAACCGAGGCACAGCTCAAGGAGTTGTTGGGGGCTGTTGCAGAGAACCAGCGCAAAGAGGAGGAGGAGCACAAAATCGTTATCTCTCGCCGCAAAGGTGGATGGGATGACGATGATGATCTCTTGGACCTCTAAGGGTCGCATAAAATTTGATTTATGATCACTTGAGCCTATGGCCCTTTTGTTTATTGCATTCGGATACCTCTGTTGCTATCCACTCGTGGCCCACTGGGAAAACCTACTCCAGGCGTTATGGTCCTTCTTTCCCTTACACTATTTCCAGCTCGGTTAAAATCCATGGCAATCGGTTTCGCAACTGCACATCGGTGATATGGTTTACAACGCTCCAATAATCATACATCTCTCCCTATATTCGAGAACCATCGTTCCGACAGGACCACAATCCAGCTCAGTTCGAAGCCTGTTGCTGTCTCTCCTTTTCCCGCTTCTGCTGCTGCCGAATCATCTTCCGAATCTCTCTTAGATCCGGCGGACGCTCAATATTCAGCTCAGATCTAAGCTCATCCACATCCTTCTCCAACACCTCCTCCCAATAAACATTGATAAGCTCCTTACTCCCCAGCCCACTGCGGATAGCCCACGGAAGATGTAATGAGAGGAACCGCTCTTTCTCGGCGGGCTTCATCCGCACAAACGCGAATAGACTCAGCCCCGTCATGGGCAGAAGTGTGTTCAGGAACTCTAGCGCCTTGAGAGCTAGCTCGCCCTCCACAAAAATCGGTAGGCCCGTCACTGCATGGTAGAAGTCATGGCACTCGCGGTATCGCTGCATGACATATGCACATTCTTCGTTGTCGATGTATTGGACATTATCTCGTGTGTCAGGAGATACACCCTCACGATCTAGCCATTTGGCGTATGTCCGGCCGACGGAGTTCTCGGGGAGCGTGCGGAGATGGGCCATTTTGAGGGTTTCGGAAGTGATGCGGGGGCGATCACGGAGAATGCGACGCCCTGTTGGATCTGAGAGCATAGCATCACGTAGTCGGTATATGAAAAATGGTGTCGCGGTAGCTTCGCCCAAGGCCGCAATGAGATCTATATAGTACCTCGTTAGATCGTGGTCCGAGATCTTATATTGGCTCTGTAGGAAATTATAATCACGCACCCGCTCTTCTAGGGTTGATAAGGGATCCAATTGCCGAGCCTAATGCAAGAGCCCCGCGCTCGACAGTAGTCAATGGGACATGGCCAGGATAGTTTGGTGGCGGGCGGTTCAGAACGGAAAAGGGCCGTAGAGTGCTTGCAGCTGATAGATTTGGACTGGTAGCCAAGGCTCGAAGCTCAATTGCTCCACGCCTCCCGAGTACCGACATTATGAATCCCAAAGCCAGAGGAACTTGTGCATGGTCTGGGACGAAAGCTGATGTGAAAGTAGAAGTGGTATGATTATCAGATCGGCAGGGACGGCATAAGTGGCTGTTGTGCCCTGCCGTAGATTGCGATAACACCGTTTATCGCCGATAACCACCTGCATCTGCTCCACATTGTAGAGTGAAATTCAGACACACATCGACGCGTTTCAAACTACTAAATATTCCTTTTAGGGGGTTTTTTTTTTGGCTTGAGAGAACAGGATATAATAGAACAAGCCCATCTAAAGGTGTGTATTAACAAATGCATATCTCTCCAACTCAATCCCCATCTCGTAGTATATACTGACTGGAACAAGCTTCTCAAAGTCTGCCAAGAAGCACAAAAACCATACAATATGAAGCCAGAATGGTGGCCCGGGGAAGAGCATGAGGCCTTCACCGAATGGGCAACCTCCAATGGCATAGACACCAACTCGGTGACTCCAGCCCGGTTCCAAGGACGTGGGCTAGGAATGATGGCCACCCGGAACATCAAAGTAGGAGTCCCTAAATCTATGTATACTCCTCATTTGTATATTTACTCACCAACTATCTATTCAGAAAGGAGAGATCGTCCTCCGAGTACCGACACAGTTGATGCTGAGGGTCGAAGATATCCCTTCCACTTTCATCCACAAACTCCCAGAAGACATTGCTGTACAGGCACTTTTGGCGGCATATCTCACGCACGGTACACCAGATGAACTGTCAAAATACGAGCTATGGCAAAAGTCATGGCCCAGCCGCAAAGACTTCGAAGACAGCATGCCGATCCTCTGGCCAACCGCCCTGGGAGGACCGGAGTTGCCCAGCAGCAAAGCCAAAGTTTCGACTGACTCGGACCAGCCAAGTCTTCTCCCCGCGTCAATTTCAGGGCTTTGGAATACGCTAAACCCAGGCCCAAAGACGAGGAAATACAGCTCAGACTACCAGAACATTCTTTCGCAGCAGGCTCAGCGCTTGCGCAAAGCATGGACGGACGTCATCTCTGCCTTCCCGGATACCAACTGGGAGAAATTTTCATACCACTGGCTGATTGTGAATACGAGGAGCTTCTATTGGATTGGCGAGGGACAGGAAACACCGGAAGACCCTAATGATGCAATGGGGCTGGTGCCTTTTGCTGATTACTTCAATCATGCGGATGTTGCTGTACGTGCTATGTCCGAGTTTCATGTTATATTGACCGAGCTAACATATCCGCGGAAACAGCGGGATGTCAAATTTGATGAGAATACATACGAATTTCGCGCTACGAAAGATTATGAGGAGGGCGAGGAAGTGTACATGAACTACGGCAGTCATCCGAATGATACTTTACTAGCAGAATGTGAGAAAGCGTTGTTATCTTCTTTTCGACATGCTGACTTTGTCCCCTTCCATTCTATAGATGGCTTCTTCCTTGATGTGAATGAAGCAGATTCGATCTACCTCGACGATATCGTTTTTCGGGACATTTATTCCGCCGAACAGCAAGAGGAGTTGTGGTTGAATCAGTATTATGGGTATGTGGTTTGATTTGATATTTTACATTGCAATGCGCATCTTGCACGCGATATATACAGTTCTCCACTGACACAGCGCTAGTAACTACCAAGTCACTCCCCATGGACCCTGTTACCGCACCGAGGTCGCTGCATGCCTGAGTTATATGGAGGAGGAGGATTGGCGGAACCATGTCCTTGAAGGCCAATCAAAGGGCTTGGATGAGAGTCGATCTGAGGCCACCATCAAAAGATGGATCCTGACATATGCAGCAGAGGCAGATGCAACTATAGCGGCGCTGCAGAAGGCCGTGGAACTCAACGCCACAGTTCAAGCACATCGTTCAAAAGCAGAGATTCTGCTGAGACGGTGGAGGCAGATCAAGGATCTCTGCGATCATGGGGCCAAAACTGTCTCTGTATAGAGATTATCCTCAAAGAATTTAGATTATTGTTGAACCATTTGACATGCTCACATAAAGAGAGATATGACTAGGAGCCAAGACATAGTAAGTATTCAACAGAGTATAAGGTAGCCCAGAGCTGTTTAGATGGGAGGCTCATTGGTAGAGATGACATTGTCGAGGTCGAGGGGAATCGCGCCAGCTTCTCGGCTCCGATGGGTAGCCGCTTTGGCAGCGACTAAATGCTTGATCATGTAGTTGAGTGCGCATTTGATACCCAGTTCTTCACCGCGACGCACAATCCATCCGTTGAAGTACTCAATCTCTGTCAATCTCCGCTGGTTGATATCCTGCTGCATCGAACTGTGGTTCTTGGCCGTGTTGCTTGCGATATTTACAACCAAACGACGCAGGCGTTCTGGGGAGAAGCGGTCTTCGATGCCCGGAATACCTTGCAGTTCAGGAAGAGCACAGATCACGGCGGAGATCTCAAAAAGTAGTAGCCGCATGACACGGGTGAAGCTGAACGAGTAGAGGATTTCGCCATTGGTACAGTCGCTCAGTGCAGTCAGGGGATTGATGACGCAGTTCACTGCCAATTTCTCAAGTTGATATTGCAACAGACCCGCTGGTGTGTCAGCCACAGCGACCAAGGGAGGAGTGAGAGTCAACAGGCGCAGAAGATATTTAGTGGACGGCGCCCACGTATGGTCAGCTTCCGGTGTTGTGGGAGGGATATTGGGATCTCCAACCGGGCTGAGAATTGTGGTTCCAACGCCCAAATGGGAAATCTTGAACGAGTCGTTTCTACCCAGACCATGGCTGAAGACCGTTTGGATGTAATGTGGTCGATTGTTGGGATCGGGGAAAACATTTTGATTGATTGAGTCGAGTACGCCCATGCCATTATGGACAAGACAAATGGTTGAGTCTTTGGTCAGACGGTGACTAATATCTTTAATGGCAAGTTCCGTATGATGCGCCTTGGTGCAAATAATCAGACACTCGATGGGGCCATTATCCGGGGGAAACTCGGAATTGAACGACGGCGGCCTGTTGTCAACAGGCGGCATTGTATACCATCTTCCTTCTTCATCCACTGTTTCAACATCAAATCCCGTTCTGACATCGTCAAGGCCATGGGTGCTGACAGAAATTTGTCCCCTTTTTCGAACAAAGGCTTGGTAGAGATAGTCATTGTGCAAGCAGATTGTGATTGGCGGCGGTGACCGTCTCGTGGCTAAAGAATGAGCAAAGAAGCAACCTAAATTGCCCATTCCGAGGATATGCACTCGTCCTGACAGAGGGGCATTGGTATCATGGTTGACCTCATGCAACTCTTCCTTCCATGTTGAGATAAATCGTGTGTTTGGCCCACCATAGAACTGAAATCGGGATCGAAAACTTGTACCAAGGATACCCGTCCGCCACAAAGAGCGAGGCCGAAATGTCGATTGCATTCTGAGAGTACTGAGGAAAAGCTCCCCGGTATATCCGATTGAGTTGCAAGTATGTGTTTGGCGATGGGAGGTCAGAACGACAGGTTTGGTGAAGTATCGATCTTTATGTCATGGGTATTGTCAAATAGGTAATAGCCCGGCCACTGGTGTGTCCACCAAGGCCTATTCTTAAACAATCAAGCAATTGTTGGATATGCGCGTGTTCTCAGTTGCGCAGATGATGATCGGTCCAGAATCCACACCGCCCGATCTTACCGCCCCAGTTGAACCCGTCTTATTTTTTTCTTAGATCAAGCAATTTCTCATCTAAACTACATCTCACCGCCATGGACCCAACAGACCTACTACCGCTGCTTGAGCAGCTGGATGACAATGTCGATGATTTGGAGATTGTTCTCCAGCCTCTTTTGGCCAGCACACTCCTCAAAAACTCAAACAAATTGCCTGTTATGGACAAAGCAAAACTTCACGTGTTGATCACCTACACACTAGAATCACTAATATTCTGTACGTCACACTACAAGCTTCCAGCCTTTGCTTATACTAATAAAATTGAACAGCTTATCTGCGGCTTCATGGCGTAGATGCGAAGCAGCACCCGGTGTTCCGGGAACTGACCCGTGTGAAGCAGTACTTTGAAAAGATCAAGGCACTGGAAACCGAGCCCGAGGAACGCCCCATGACCCTTGATAAGGCAGCTGCGGGAAGGTTTATCAAACATGGCCTTGTGAGTGGTGACCTGTTCTATTGTATTATAATGGCTACTGACCAAGTTTACACAGGCTGGCAATGATAAGTATGACTTGGAACGGGCAGAAAAGCAGGCCAAAGAGCGAGCCCGTGCTGAGTTCAAAGCAGCCATGCTCGCCCGCAAGAGCATTGAGGCCTCGAAAGCGCAATCCAGTAATGATTCTGACGATGACGATTCTGAAGGGGGCGTGGATATTGCAACAGCAGCACAGCCCCAGGTTGACACAAATCACCCCGGAAAGGCCGAGAAAGATAGCAAAAAGACATCCAAGGGAGAGCCCAAATCAGAAAACAGCAAGTCAAAGAAAGAGAGGAAAATCAACAAGGCGACACTGAAAGAAGAGAAGAAGGAGCGCCGGCTGAAGAAGGAGGACTCCCGAAAGGCCCGCAAGGCTCAATGATTGCATTGCGTCTCATTTTTGGTGGAAACTAAGTACGGACTGCCTTGCGCCTCGAATACTAAGGACGGACTGCCGGGCGGTCTCAAAACAGCATTGGCTATGCGTCATCATGATCAGAACCTCTGCCGACACAACATGCATTGTCGATTCTAATCATCGCTTTGCCAAACCTGTCGGGCCATGAGCTTCCATTTAGATGGATGCCTTGGCCATCTGGCCATCTCGAGACCACAATGAGTGGCTCTATGTACTACTATGTATGTACGAGACTTGGATGTCTCCATGAATCAAGATACCCTTCCGCAATGGGAACTACAACAAGATCTTCAATACATTCTATACACAAGCTAGTAGATAAAACCAGCTGCTCAGGTATTCATGACATAATTCGCGCACCCATTCTATTGCTTTTAATAGCACATGCTAGTAATTCCCGTGGTAAACCCGTTCCTGACTCCGCGTCGGGCAACCGGCGCCGTAATGTCCGGTCCACGTGACAACCCTTCCACCAATCAGCATCCACAAATCTCCAAGGTTTGCATCGGAGTTTGCCTCAGTGACCGAACTTACTCATCTTCTAGCTTCTTCTTTATCCACTAGAACTTATACTTATCTCAACTTGCATATCCTCACCTCCCTTTTACATTCGTCCAAACAAACCCACACACAACCATCAAAATGCCTCGTCAACAACGCCGTGCCGCTCCCACCCCTGCGCGCAGCGCTCCCAGCCGTCCTACCGCCGCTCCTGCTCGGCCCGCGGCTGCTCCCTCGCAGCAGCAGTCGCAGCCTCACTCGACCGCTGCTCAACCCCCACAGGCCCAGCAGGCTCCTCCTATGCAGCAGCAGAGTGCCGGCCCTGGACTCTTCGGCCAGATGGCCTCAACTGCAGCGTAAGTTCCAATCCCGGCTTCGTGTTTCCTTCCCCGATAAAATCCGGGGTTAGGGTCGACTTTTTCCCGGAATATGTGCTAACGGTTATTTCGATCCAGTGGTGTTGCCGTCGGCTCTTCCATCGGCCACGCCATCGGTGGCTTCTTCGGTGGTGGCTCCAGCGCCCCCGCCGAGGCCCAGCAGGCTCCCCCTGCCCAGTCCCAGGCTATGGACAACGGCCTCTACCAGAGCAACGCTTCCCAGACCTCGTACGAGAACCCTGCCTGTGAGGTTGATGTCCGCAACTTCCGCACTTGCATGGATGAAAACCAGGGTAACCTGAGCATTTGCGGTTGGTACCTTGACCAGCTGGTATGTTTATCCTTGTTTTATTTTTCTCTGCTTTTTAAATATGTACTAATGCCCTGCAGAAAGCTTGCCAGGCTGCCGCTAAGCCCTACTAAGGGTTTGATACCAATTTGACCCTTGTTGGTCAGAAAGACAGATACCATTTTTAGTAATAAGTGATGGGGTTTATGGGCATGATCGTTCATAGCCAATCTTTCATTTGCATAGCCATTTCCACATCCCCTCTTTGTACTTTATACCATCTCTCCTCGATAAAGGAATCAATGCTTGACTACCGAATCAAGAATTCGAATGCATGAATTTAACGAACTTCCTACGTTTGTAGTTATCTGATGGTGTTTTGGACCAACCTAAATCAAATCCAAATACGATTATAATGAGCCCTCAATAACTTCATAGAAAAGGTCACTTATTATGATTGCTAACTTTAACAGTTAACAAGAAAGCAAAAAATTGCAAGAGTGTCATAGTACAGAGTGTTGTGGGTTAATCCATCCGATCCATGAACGCCATAGATAAATAATGCAAGAACACTAAAGCAATACCACTAGAACTTATTTATCCTTGTCATCTTGGTTCTTCCGTGGCTCAAAGTTCAACTAAGAAATAAGTTAGCCAAACCTGAACAAGATATCCTCACTTAGTATCCTATATACCTGGTTCCCATTGTAAAGCTGACTATTCCCACGTCCATCTTGCTGATCTCTCAGCGTCCGAATATTCGGTCCTGTGGTCCTAGGACGTTGAGAATTGCCAGTAGCCGGAGAGGGCGAAGGGGCGGATGCACCGCTTGCTGGTACGGTGGTGCCATATCCAAGGAATGAACCCACAAGACCTGTAGCGGTGCTGGCAGCAGAAGAGGCCAAGTTGTAGACGGCAGAGATACCACGAACAGGCAAGCTACCTGCTGCCGAATATGCCTCCGTGTATGTTGACACAGGGACCATGACCAGATTCGCGGTGGAACCGAGTCCTAGGTCTCGGAGAGTTTGCGATTCTTGGGTGACGGACAGAGTTTCACTGGGGAGGGGGGTTAAGATATGTTTGAGGTTGTAGGGTCGGTTGTCGTCTTCCATCTTCTGGTCAAGCCAAGCCCGTACATCGTTTCGGATGCTCTGAGTGGGTGTAAAGCTAGATCGCACGGAACTTCCATCAAACAGGCGCACTTGTAGCCGGTACTCGGTTGGAGGTCCTCGAGGGACTATAGGTTTTGGGTCTTGGAGTTCGCTCTTTACAACACCTTTGTCAGTGGGATTCTTAGACCCCATTGGTGCTTTGCCTTTAATATCTTTATGGCTGACTTCTTTGGATGGTAAGTGCTTCTGAGATGTAGAGTCCGCTGCCTTTGCAGGTTCTTCAACTTTCTTGGGTATTTGCTCAATCTGCGGTCGTTTGCTGATTGCAATTTCACTTGCTTGCTTTGCGGATTTGCTGGCGTTGGATGGCGCCTCGGGCTGGGGTTGGGGTGTGGCTGACACCGGCGTATTATTAGTTGAAGCGGTAGGAGTGTCATTGCTTTGTGGGTGCTGTGTAGACCTGGCTGTCTGTTCATTTTCCAAAGCTGCAATCAATCGACTGCGGAAGTCAGCTTTCGAGATATCTGGTCCGATGTATTCCTTCAGCGTGCCGTTCCTGGAACGAAGTCAGCAAACCAACACCGAGTTTCCCACAGGTGTTGAATAGTTAAGCGCACTTGATAAGAACAACAGTCGGGAATTTTGAAATCGGACAAAAAGGGGCCAGGAATCCAGCTTCCTGTGACCCCGCTGTCAAACGCAATACAACTGCTTTGGCATTGAGTGCTTGTGCCACCTGCATGGAGTCAGATACCGTCAGACATTCAATTGTAGCGAGTGAACGTACCTCATCATCACCAAAATAAGCATCTTCCCATTGAGAGCTCAACTCCTCGTCATCTGTATGTTCAAGTCCCAAGATTAGCGACACATCATTCTATACGGGGAGAAAACTAGCCACCTCTAACAAAGCAAGTAACCGCTTTGGCATCTCTCACTGCAGCAGCAATACCCTCCTGAAGGGATCCACTGTAGAAAAGTGTCATGATCGTATTCCAGTAAAGACTTAGACGTGAGAAGGCCAGTGCGGAGAGACAAGTATAGATTGGAGAAGCGTGGGCGGTCACGGTAACCCCCGATCCCGAAATTCCAACTGCCGTCGCATTTGCAGCAAGACACTCCAACTCTTACCTCGTCCAAAACTCAACTCATTGTTCACATATTCTAAACCGCCAACATGCGGCCGATATTTTCTGCTTTGCAGAAGACATCCGCAAGGGTCTGGACACCGCCGACTCGGGCTATTCGGAGCCCTCATGCACCATCGAAGATCAATTCCATCTGCACCAAATACCGCCTACAACAATTCCGCCATATCTCGCAATCGCGTCAGCTGGCTGAGGGTCTGAATATTGTAGACCACCCAGCGAGGCTTGTCCGTGTTAATAAGAAACATGGGCCTGGTCTGATCATTTTGGGTATGTCAATGTCCAATGCTATATATTCTCAAAAACACTATATTCTAGTGACAAGAGATAATTACTAACGTATTATTCCACATATATATAGCGCTGATCCCTATCATCTCATTTATTCTGGGAACATGGCAGGTACAGCGCCTGGACTGGAAAACCAAACTGATGGCCAAATTCGAGGACCGTCTCGTGAAGCCTCCTCTGCCACTGCCGCCCCGAATCGACCCGGATGCCATTTCAGAGTTCGACTACCGCCGCGTGTACGCTACTGGCCGTCTCCGCCATGACAAGGAAATGCTGGTTGGACCCCGCATGAACGAAGGAGAGGACGGGTTTATCGTGGTGACTCCCCTCGAGCGAGAGGGACAGAGTACCGTACTTGTGAACCGGGGTTGGATCTCAAGGAAGCTGAAGGACCAAAAGGACCGACCTTTGGGTGTACTGGATGAAGAGGTGACCGTGGAGGGTTTGCTACGAGAGCCATGGAAGAAGAACATGTTTACACCGGATAACAAGCCAGAGGAGGGGAAGTTCTACTTTCCCGATATCAATCAGATGGCGGAGAAGAGCGGGAGCCAGCCTGTTTGGATTGAGCAGACAATGGGTAAGGAGACTAGGTCTAATTATCTTGCTAATGCATGGCTAACAATGATTTGCGTTTCCAGTGCCTGACCTCCTCGAATCATACGATCGCGAGGCCAAGGGTATCCCGATTGGCCGCGCCGCAGAGGTGAATTTAAGAAACAACCATTCTCAATACATCTTCACCTGGTGAGTTGGATCCATTGCATGATTTCCCTCCCCACTTGGGATTGTCGCTCATACTTTGCAGGTATGGCCTGTCTTTGGCCACTACCATCATGATGTGGATGGTTATTCGGAAGAACCCAAACGAGGCACTGCGCCGAGTTCGCCAGAACCGAAACTGGTAATGGGTAGTGGGATTCCAGCTTTACCTTAGCATAATTCATTGGCGTTAAAAGCGTTACTTTTCATGGAGAATCTTGTTCTGGATATTCATGGAGGCATGGCCAACCTCATGTCTTGCTGAAGTTCTTTGGGTAAATGCTTCTGGGCGAGGGAAAACACTGTCGTTGAGTTGTTGATATGGCGTTGTCTGGAACAAGTCAGCAGTTATTCCTATATAAGATGGTTGACTTCCAAGGAAACTGACCTTCTCAGCAATGTGGTGACATCGCTTTCATCAATGGTCTTCCGTCCTGCATGCTTTGAATACGCAGCCAAGTCTTGGCTTGCTTGCTCAAAGTACCAAGAGGACGCCTGTTCGATCGCGGCCAGCGTGGCTTTGTTGATTTTTGCCTTTGGTCCAGCCCCCGAACGCGCGAAACGAGTCGCCAGCTTTTTTACCACACCTGCAGGCAAGTTCGGGACAGGAATTCCATGTCGTGAAATCTTCTTTTGCTTGCCCTGGGCTGGGATAGCTTCATCTCGCAATCCACCTCCAACGATCCCAGGGCTCACACTGGGTGATGCTGCGGGTGGGAAGTCGAGTCCAAAACCAAAATCAGCTCCAGCGTCATCGTCATCATCGTCTGATGGAGCTGGAGGTGCCTCTGCGGTGGATAGTTCGAAATCCTCCATATCGTTCATGTCCCCGCCAGTGGGATCTTCAAGCGGAGCAGCGGCAGGAGATGGAAAGTTGAGGTCAAAATGGAAGCGGCCCAGGTCTTCCGTCTCTCCCCTATTTGTGATATCAGCATATGTAACATAGACAATCCAATTGTTGTATACCCACCCTCTATCAAAGTCGCCCCCACTCATCATTGTATCCTCTGCCTCATCATCCTCACCCATAATACCAGTCTCATCTGCACCATCGCTCTCTAATCGTGTCTCGTCGAAATCTCCGCTGATTCTGCCAGTAGCTCGGCTCATCATTGACAAACGGTCCCGGTCTCTGATGCTGGCGTCGCGAGGGTATTCGACAGACTGATAAGTCATATCCATATCCTCCTCTGCAAAGGCGAGAGACATCCTAGGGGGGTGTATCTCAGGACTCGCTTCTTCGCCTTCTTCCTCGGACTCCTGAATAGGCAGAGATAACCGTGGCCGCTCGATTTCTGGCTCATTATCAAGTTGTTCAAATTCATCAATTGGCTCTTCGATAGGCTCTGGCTTCTCCTGTGGCGAGGAGCGGATAGGCTGAGACACAGGAGCGAGTGCTAAGACCGGCCCAAAATAATCAGTTTAACTCCTCATGCCGAATGGTACTAGGTGAAGCTCTTACCTCTACCCAGGTTTCTGAGAATATCGAATGTAGTCTCCCGCTGCATTCGGCCGCTTTTTCGGCGATCCCGACCAGGGGTATTCGCCGCCCGTTGTTGCCGGGCACGAAGTCCGTATGGTGTTGCTGGCGCACCTACGCCTCGAGCGCGTGGTGTGTATCGAGAAGTGGACCGCTGAGTGCCCGGGGTGGTTGCAGTAACAAGTCGACTTGGTGTAAGAGGGTAGCGTGTATGGCTAGGTAGGCGTTGTAGCTATAGGTACATGATACGGTCAGCAATTTTCAAACCTCCCAAAAGGTAATGGGTAGCACACTCCAGTCAGTGTTGTATCCCCAGATGGGGTAGCAGTTCCAAATGGTGACCGACGGCCACGCGCATTTGGGGTAGAAGTAGACATGGCTTGGTTTTTTTCTGCAAGAGAAGTACAGCTATATCATGTAAGAGATACCAGACCACATATGTAATCACCACAACAATAAATTCCCAGATCAACTGGGCGAATAGTGAATCACAAGATTGACGTTCATGTTTGTCTGTCGCGTCTAGAAACAACAATTGCGGGCCAGTGTATGATTGGCCTATGCTTATCGATAAGATTGGCTGAATCAGCCGGCTTTTTTTTTGCGCAATGAAGTCTTCTCGATGCGACTTACATTTTCTAATTGAAGCTTAAAATACTTGGAAGATTTTTTTACCAAGTTCATACTGGCTATCGTCACAATGGCCGACACAAATGCCCCCAAAGGACTTTCCAATAAGCTCCAAAACAAGCGCAAGAGACAAGCCGACGAGGCTGCTCCCAAGCAAGAAAAGCCCGAGGCAGGCACACCCGCAGAGGGGTCAAGCAAGAAGAAGCAGAAGAAGAACAAGAACAAGAAGAAGCAGGCTGAACATGATGAGAGTCAGTCAACGCGCAAAGACGGCATTGATGAGTCCATTGGCAAGATGGACGGCCGGTTGTTGGGCGATCACTTTGCGCAGAAAGCCAAAAGACATGATAAGGAGCTCTCTGCTGTTGAACTGAGTGATCTTTCGATCCCAGGTATGTATAATTTTATTGTTCTGTCAGCCAAGGCCGAGGGGTGTTCTAGACATTAACAAATCTATAGATTCCGCATTCCTCGATACCTCTTCCTTCACCTCCACCCGCAAGCTGGAGCAACTCCCCGAATTCCTCAAGTCGTTCAGTCCCAAGGGCTCCGACCTGTCAAAGTCGTCCGAGAAGAACGGCACCCCTCATACACTAGTGATTTCGGGTGCTGCTCTGCGAGCCGCTGACGTTGTTCGGTAAGTGGGCAACTTTCAATATTTTCTGTAGTATGGGTCGAAGCTGGGGCTGACAATTTATGTTAACAGGGCACTGCGTTCTTTCCAAACCAAGGATAGCATTGTAGGCAAGCTGTTCGCGAAGCACATTAAGCTGGAGGAAGCGAAGCAGTTCCTTCAACGTGCTCGGTCTGGTATTGGGGCTGGTACCCCGACTAGAATCTCTGATTTGATTGAGTCTGGTGAGTTTGCTGGGTTGCTCTCTATAGACAGCTGTACTTGTTTGTGCATACAGATGCTGATGATTGATCTTTTAGGAACTCTCAACCTGGAGGAGCTGGAGCGCATTGTCATTGATGGATCACACATTGACCAGAAGCAACGAGGCATCTTTGACATGAAGGACACGCATATGCCGCTGTTGAAGCTGCTTACTCGGCCGGAACTGCGTGAGCGCTATGGGGTGAAGAAGGGTGTGAAGATCTTGGTGTTCTGATCATGAACTCTCATACTGGTATATTATTCGAGTACACGCAAAATTGAATGGATGTATTCATACAATCTTTTAGCGTGGTACGTACTATGTAATAAAATCGCGAACTATAAAACTAAGGCCTTATCGGGAGGCCTATCTTCACCGCCTCCCGAGAACGGCAAAAATTTACTTTCACTTTTCTCTCCGCCCGACTTTTTTTTTGGAGCTCGAGTCTCGTTGCGCTGCAAACTTCCCCACCGCTTTCTTGTTTTCCTAGACATCCCAAGACTTTCACTCGTCTTGTTTTCTCTCCCATCCCACCATTGTCCTTTTTCACCACAACATTTACCCTATATAAACTACTACAATGGGCGATAAGCGCAAGCTCGTGCAGGATGAGGTGGTCGAGCCTGAGGGCAAGAAGATGAAGAAGGAGAAGAAAGACAAGAAAGACAAGAAGGAGAAGAAGGAGAAGCGCAAGGTGCAGGAGGAGTCCGAGGTTGTCGCTCCCGCCGAAACTGCTGCCCCGGCACAGGAAGAGGTGAAGGAGAAGAAGGAAAAAAAAGACAAGAAGGACAAGAAGGACAAGAAGGACAAGTCCGAGAAGAAGGAGAAATCCGACAAGAAGGAGAAGTCTGACAAGAAGGAAAAGCGCAAGGCCGAGGAACCCGCCGCCGAGCCTGCTGCTCCCTCCGAGGACGCTATGGATATTGACGTGACCCCTGCCGAGAAGGAGGACGCCGATAAGAAGGAGAAGAAGGACAAGAAGAAGGCGAAGAAGGCGAAGAAGGAGAAGACCGAGCCCGTGGTTGAGGCCAAAGAAGAGCCCGCCGCTGAATCCGCGGAGGCCGAGCAGGCCCAGAAGAGCTCCCGCTTTATCTGCTTTGTTGGTAAGTGGCTACAATCCGATAGACTACCCCTAACTGAAGACACAAGATTAATCAAAGGATATTCGCATATACAGGCAACCTTCCCTACTCCGCCAACCATGAGTCTTTGAGCAAGCACTTCGAGAAGAACCCCCCGGCCACAATCCGCGTCGCAACCAAGAAAGAAGACCCCAAGAAGTGCCGCGGCTTCGCATTCATTGAGTTTGACAACTATGACCGCATGAAGACCTGCCTCAAGTTGTACCACCACTCCACCTTCGACGACGGAAAGTACCCACCCCGACGCATGAACGTCGAGCTGACGTAAGTTATCCCTCCCTAATTGGCGATGATGATCTCCGTTTCCGAGTCTCCTCCAAGAAAGAAAGCCCAATTGCAAACATAGACTCATATACTAACTATCAATTACAGTGCTGGCGGCGGCGGCGCCAAGTCTGAACATCGCAATGCCAAGATCCAGGCCAAGAACGAGAAGCTCAACGAGGAGCGCCAGCGCCAGGCTAAGGATATCCAGAAGGACAAGAAGAAGCACGAGAAGAAGGCTGCCCCGGCTGGCGGCTCTGGTGCCAATGCTGCTGGCTTGGATGGCGCGGCTGATAATGCTGTCAGCGCTGACAACGATCAGTGGGCTGGTTTGCACCCTAGCCGCAGAGGCCGTGTTTAAATCAACACAGGCCGCTGGTTCACTGCTATGGTTTATGTTAAAACGGTCTCAGCTCGTTGGTGGATCGGAACAGTGTACAGGAAGGTGTCCGGAGTATCTGCAGGCAGCTGGGCATTTTGATAGCCATGCATTCTTGGGAGCATCAGGTTTGGCCTGCTTTTTCTTCTGTTCCAAAAAGTACTTACTTCATGTCTCTATTGCTTGATTTTGAAGATACCAATTCATATATTCTTTTCTGTGCTTTCCCAGCAAATATCGCCCTAGTGGACATATATCACAACATGAACTAGGAGTAACTTGAGAATGACCAGGGTATAATGTCGGAATCAAGAACATCGCAATTGAATTGGGACAGACTATGGACAAGGGCCAAGAGGGCAACAAAAAAATATCCCCAAGAAAAACGGTGAATGGATTTCATCACAAAAACAGCACTGAGAGGCCGGCGGAAAAAAAAAAAAAAAAAAAAAAAGCCTCTAACTACCCAGACGCCGTATTAACTATATATTATTCATTATAGCATACGAGAACATGGGGAGACGAGTCAAGCCGAACAAACGTGCTCTACAAGATATTGCATTTGACTGCCTTCCTCCCGGATTTCGTAGCGGGACGGGGATTGAGAACGGCTCTATGACGGACGGTTAGAAAAACAACAAAACGGATTTAAACAGATAGTCTGCCCGGGAAAGAGAGTAAAAACGCACCGGATGGCTTCATCAAACACGCTCTTCAGGTTGCGCTGTGTCAACGCCGAACATTCAAGGTACTTATGTGCGCGAATTTCCTTGGCTACAGCCAGGGCTTGTTCGTAGGAGACGGTCTCCATCTTGCGTGCGCGAAGGGCTTCCGTAGTGGCGCGGTCGTCTCTCAGATCGAGCTTGGTACCGACAAGGATGATGGGGACATTGGGGGCGTGGTGTTCGATCTCAGGGAACCACTAGAAGCGGGGGAACAATTAGTCACATTGAAATAGGAAGAGCGGAGTAGATCTCTTGTGTATATTCGGCCGGTTCGTACCTTGGCTTTGACGTTATCGAATGATGGTGGGCTGACGATGGAGAAACAGATCAAAAACACGTCAGTTTGCGGGTAGGATAACGGTCTCAGGCGATCGTAATCCTCTTGTCCAGCAGTATCCCACAGTCCCAGGCTGATCGGCCGGCCGTCAACCATAACACTGGCCGTGTAGTTGTCAAAGCTGTAATGGAATCAATGTCCGTTCGGGAGTTCAAGGTCTTCGCATTGGGGGGCAGTGGGTACGAACACAGTAGGGATGTATTCACCGGGGAAAGCATTTGTTGTGTAGGAGATCAGAAGACATGTCTAGAAGAGGGGGAACTGGATGTCAGCATCTATCGCAATATTATAGTAGGGATGGAGTGTGGGATGTACTAACTTTGCCAACTGCACCATCACCAGTCACCACACACTGCAGTTCTCGTCAATTCAAGCGCATCATTGTAGATCTGATCGGATGCCCACCTTCAGTGACTGAGTAGCCGGACCCGTCGCCATGTCGCAAAAATATAAGACCAAATCAAGCCGAGTTCCAACAGGGGGCGGTCGTGTTGTCGATAAGACAACGATAGCGGAAGGACACAATGGCAACAAGGGTATCTTCAGAAATATTTAGCTTTAGCTTCAGGGGAACAGGGAAAGAAGCTAGGAGGTTGGAGCTAGGGAAAAAGAGGGGGTGGGAAAGATGTGGAGACCAGAATGAAGATAAAAGAGAACTCACCAAAAACCAAAAAAAAAAAAAAAAAAAAAAAAGGAGAGGAGATTATATGGGTTGAGAAAGACAGAGAAAAAGTGAGAGAGAGTCAGAGAGGAGAAAAAAAAGAAAAAAAAAAAAGGGAAAACTAGTTCCCCTAGTTCAAGTCACTAAATGTTAGAATAGATGAAGAGATCAAAACCCTTTGAAGTCGTCTCCACTTCTAAATATTGAAAATGTGCGTATCTAAACGGATGTGTACCAAGTATATAAGTGCTGATATACCCTTGGACTACTCCGTACGGAGTACTGACTCCCATTTTCAAGGTGTGATAGGACTTGAATTTGAATTTCCCATCTCACAGACCTCCTATATCTGTTGGTAAGCCATCACTAATGCACCAATCGCATGACAATTGAATCACGAGTGACGGACAATACCATGGCGTCTATTTAGTATCGAATCATTATGGGAACCCCCCCGGGTGCATATGCATGGGCCATCAGTTATCCTATTTATATCTATCCAACCACCCCCGGATATCACCTATAGATGGGACTTTATTCGATCTGGGTCCTAAAACAGTACCCCCCAAAAACAAACAGAGCCTACAATCGCGATACGCCCCTCGAACCATTCAGGAACCCACCTGCCTTGATCTCCGCCGGTTTCGTCAACAAAGTGGATAATCTTTTTGAGAAGGTTCGGAAATAGGGTGATTTGACGTGGGTCTGGATCGCCGCCTGGTTTTTATACCTATTTTAAAGAGCCGATCAGAATTTGGTTGGAAATTGGTGGCAAAGATACTCTTGCGAATCAGATGCCGAGGCACGGTTGCCCTCTCCATGCGGGGGGAGCTGCCGGTGAGAGGCGACCTATATCGATACCTCAATGGTTCACTTACCTCTCAACGATCACAATCTCATTCTTGTCCTTGATTTCAAATGCGTAGTAGACCAGTGTATCTGGTTCGTGTTCTTGCACTTGTTTGATGACGTCGGTTACCAGAGTAGCTACCTAGAGGATAACCCGATACGGTAAGATATTTGGACTGTCAAGGAGGATAAGGCTGGGCTGACTTCTTCAAACTTCTCTGGCTTTGGAATGAAAACTGCGGTGACGTTGATTTCGGACATGCTGACCTGTCTGACTTGTCTGACTTGTTAACCTGGCGTTAATGAAGTAGCACTGGTAGCACCGGCACTAATAGGACAACTTACTTTTTCAATGTAGAATTCAATGATACTTGGATATCGTAGATCGGATGTTGGGATGTTAGGAGTTTAAGAGTTAAGAGTTAAAGAGTTAAATATTTAAATGTGTTGAAGATCATATAATCCATCTAATCCACCCGGATATCGACCTCGGTCCATGGCAAGTGGGGCATGAAGTATATGCAGATATACGTGTATCCCACAGAAATGGCTTTAATATATTGAAATATCGCCTACGACCCTACATGCTTCTTTCATTCAGTGATAGTTTTCTAATTCAACTTGATAGAAATGTTAAAATCTATGTTTATGTGCTTTGGTTTGATACACACTTCAGCTGATAGTAAAGGAATATGCAATATAAAGTCTCCAATACTTAGTAATAACAATAACAATCAGCTGCATAGTATATCGACAGTGTTTAATGGAAGGATTAAGATCCCTACATAGTACACGTATGACAACATAACTATTCAACTGCTTCAAAAAGCCGGGGATCCGTCATGGGGAGAGATTACATCATCAATTAATGCCTCAGGCATTAGATGAATCAGCAACCGCCGAGATTCGTCTCAGTATCAAATCTCCCGCAAATCACCGTCGTCAATCAGCAGACAATTCTCCACCTGCCCGTTCAGCGGGCCGATTTCTCCGATTTACGGCACATGGACTCCATGAGCACTCGTTCACGTTTCGTGGGGTTTTATACCGGCTGAACGCAGGCTGATCTCGATGGATTTGGGGTATCGGAACATACTGGCACCGGATGGGCCGCATTACTCAATCCCGCCCAGCGACTTTCGGTCCCCCACACTACCCCGACCACCCCCGGTTATCGATTTCATGCAGAGAAGTTCGGAATCTTGTGAGATGGAGAAGGCTCCGCCTGTCACAGGCAAGCGCCGAGGTGGCAGCCGGAAAGCCTGTAATGAATGTAAGCAGCAAAAGGTGAGTCATGTGCATATATATTACTATGCAATTTTACCCAAATCAAGCCCGACCGTATCGGTTCTCCGACAATCGCGCTGATGTCTCAAACCTTGATAGCTGAGATGTGATATTGTTCAAACGCCAGCTGCGGCATGTTCGCGTTGTCGTAGGCTTGGAATAGACTGTAAAGTCGAACAGTCATTCAAGCGCATCTCTAAGAGAAGGTAAATCTTTTTTTTTTTTTCGTTTCATGTTTATGATTTCTTTCGCGTCTTATTGTCTTATTGACTGTATTTCATAGGCGCAATGCTGAAATGGAAAAGGAGATTGCGGATCTCCGCCGTCGCCTAGGCCCTAATTCAGATCATGAGCAAGGTGTAGAGCCTCAAGAGTCTCATGGAGGCGATGAAATCTCCCATTGCTCAGAGGATGTCTTTGCTCGCCGTGACTCGGCCGCGATTGACCACCCTCGACCTGTTTCGGTGCCGGTTGAAACCCACTCATCTATAGCAACTCCCTTGACTATGAAAAGGGATGGTTCTATTATATCACAGGATGAGGGCCAATGGAGACTGGAAGATGTTTGTCTCTCTAGAGCCCGAGTCCTTCGATTATACGAACAGTATGCGCTCTTCATTTCTTTGGCCCGCTTCTCCGATTAACATCTATATAGATACTTTACTTATTATCACCCTTTTCTTCCTCTTTTGAATCCGCCCAAGCCCCCAGAGGTGTATCTCAACCGATGCCCTCTTTTGGCGTGGACGATGATCTGTGTTGCGAGTCGACGGTCTCAATATGAGCCTGGGCTCCTGAGCGCACTGTCCGGACCATTTAGCAGGCTGCTTTGGTCAACTATTACCAGTGTTCCGCAGGACTACCGGGTGGTCAAGGCCCTTTGTGTTCTGTGTACATGGCCTCTTCCAACTACAAGCCAGCGCACTGATGCAACTTTCATGCTCAGTGGCTTGATGATGCAGATTGCTATGCAGCTTGGACTACATCGTCCGGTTCAAGCGGAAGAGTTCACAACTTTCCGCATGGAAGTTCAAGGCGAAGCCCTAAAGGATCGACTACATACGTGGGTCATTTGCAACATTGTGGCTCAAAAGTGAGTATCTCCCTTCGATATATGGCCGTTTACCATATACTGATTTAGGATTCGGCAGTGTTGCGACTGGTTACGGCCAGCCCCCGAGTACAATATACGACTGGGCCCTTGAGCCTGCCTCTTTGAGGGATGCCGACTACCGGCTTCCCGATGATCTGGCCACTCGGCTACGTATCGAAAAGTTCTGTGACCGGGTGACCAAGGCATTATATAGTAGTAAGCCCGAGCCTGCGGAGTTCATCAGTGCCGACAAGCTCGTGGTTGTCCAGGTTTTGGAAAGTGAACTCAGAGACATGGATGTCGAGTTTGACGGGAAAATCTCCGGTAAGTTGCTGTCGTACCATTCGAACTTCGTACCGCTCACACTCGCATCAAGCAATCAACACTATCCATCTCCGAGCCGCAGAATTGCACTTCCGATACTTCATGTTTTTGGGGTCCACTGCACGAAATGACGATCTGATCAAGCTTTTCCTTGCAACAACCTCCTTCCTTGGTCGAGTACTAGACCTCGAAACATCACCAGGTGAATTGATCGGTCACTCCACCAACTATATTCTTCAAATGATTGTATCGGCCGCTTTTGCTCTCATGAAGTTGTTGAAGAGCAGCTTCAGTCGACACCTCGATTTCAACCATGGAAAGCTATTGTTCAATGGTGCGATCTCAGCAATTCGCCGAATCAGTGTCATGGATCATGACCGTCCCATTCGTCTTGCAGACATCCTCGCTCAGATGTGGAATGCCACGAGTCTAGAGCCGGCCGAAGAAGACGCTCTACAGCTTAAAGTCCGCTGCCGAATGAGCATGAGCCATGTCTACGACACGGTTTGGCGTTGGCGACAGCGGTTCCGACCGGTCAAAAGCCTCGAGGAAATGCAAGGTAGGTTTTCTTTGCTCCCCCCCTTTGGTTCTTTTCTTTCAGATTTTAACAAATGTCTTTTCATAGCTGCTGCTATAGCAGCGAACCAAGATATACTAGGCCCGGCAGGACACATGACGCGACAGCAGCAGAATAGCTCCCTGGAGGACCAATCTTTGATTATGCCAGCTCAGTTTGATGAAGGTGGAGCATTTTTCAGCGAATCTGGTTTCTCAGAAGTCTTTGATTCACTCAATTGGGTTTTTGATGGCATTCCCGACTCTTTCGTCGCACCTCCGGTTTTATAGATGCCAATTACTGCGATTGCGGGTGCGGGTGTTTTTGTATACTGTTTGATATTTGATTCTCAGCGACGATACCAGAATAAAAGTGATTTTACTGTATGCTACAAATAGAATAATGTACATAAATATAAATATACGTACAACTATACGTACGACGTACAACCTACACAAAAGTGAAGCCCAAGATCCACTTATGTGGCTGAACCCGCCATTACGTCTTGACCCCAAGAATAAATCCAGGGACCTACTTTGTACAGCCTGACATTCCTATAGGTTCATACCTTTTCAGCCCAAGTGAAACTCCTGAAGGCAGGCTGCAGCATTTCTTGTTCCTGACCTCATTTTGATCGGCTCCTAACCGCATCTCCACCGATACATAAAGGTGTGGCCCGTGAGGCTTTCCGTTCCCCCCCCCCCTCTATTTAACTCCTCCTTCTTGACATTCACACAAGTCAAGACCAATTTCCATGTCGGATCAAGCCATACACGAATCCACGGCGATACCGACGCTCTCCGATGCGCCTCCGTCGAGCGCCGGTCGCTCATCCCCTAGCCACGGGGGCGAGCAGACCCAGCCGACCCACGAGGCCATCTCAGATGAGCTGAAGGCCCGCCTGGACAAAGTTATCTACTCTGATGTGAGCAGACACAGACAATTCTACCGTCAGGTGTTTATTTTAAAAAAAATTCGCAATCATATTAATCATAAGTAGATCGGAATAACCACACTCCTGACACGGCTGAAGCAAAGCGTGGCCTCCGCCAGGGTTAGTAGTCGCAAAGGGACTTCAATGACTATCGCAAGCGCTGACACGGTATCTACTAGGATTTCTCAACATTCCTGAAAAAGCGAGGTTCCCTCGAAGAAGAGCACGCCCAGGGGCTGAGAAAACTGTCCCGCGTGATCAGCGATGCGTCGCAACGCTCTGAGAACCGACAAGGAACATACAGTTCCAGCTACAAAGACATCCACCGGATCCAGGAGCGAATGGTCGACCATGGCCTCCAATTCGCCGTCTCCCTCCACCAGATGTCCGATGATCTACACGAGCTCGCCGCCAACATTGAGCGCGGCCGCAAGCAATGGAAACAGACGGGTTTAGCGGCGGAGAAGAGGGTCGTCGATGCGGAATCGCTGGCGGAGAAGGCAAAGGCCAAGTACGAGTCATTGGCGGAGCAATATGACCGTGTTCGCACGGGAGACAAGCAGGGCGGAAAGTTCGGTCTCAAGGGCCACAAGTCTGCGGCGCAGCACGAGGAAGAGTTGTTGCGCAAGGTCCAAAACGCGGATAGCGATTATGGGTCTAAGGTTCAGGCTGCCCAGGCGGCGCGCCAGGAGCTAGTGTCTACCCAACGACCTCAGGCTGTACACAATCTTCAGCAGTTGATCTCTGAGTGTGACTCGGGCCTGACCCTGCAACAGCAGAAGTTCGGTATGTGCGATTCATTTTTATACATGTGAGTTAGTTTTTCATTGTTCATCGGCTAATCGTTTTCAGCTACATTCAACGAGAAACTGCTTCTGGGCCAAGGTCTCTGCGTCAACCCTTTGAAGACCGATGCGAGCAGTGGGGCGTTGGGGCCTAAGAGCCTTGCCGATGTTATCCGTCAAGTCGATAACCAGAGAGATCTCCACGAGTTCATTTTAAGTCATGAAGGCAACCCCGGGGCTGTGGCTTCAGAACAGGTTAAATATGAGCGCCACCCTGTAAGTCCTGTATTACTACTCGATTGCTCCACTATACTAACGTGATTAGACACTTGGTGGTGCTGGGGCTGCTGCTTCTGCTTCTGCGGCACCTTCGCAACCAAGCACTCAAAATAAGCGCGTGTCAATCATGCCGCCAGCATTCGCCTCGAATAATACCTCTTCACCGGCGCTTCAGCCACCGCAGAGTGGTGACCGATTGCCGCAATCACCTTATCCCCCCGAAAAGACCTTCACTCCACCCCCAGCCGGCACAGCGCCATACCCAGTCTCAGGGCCGCCTGCTCCGGAACCCGCACCTAAGATCCCGCTGTCAATGGGAGCACCTCCCCCAATGGACAGGAGTTTGCAATCGAATCTCCCTCCATTGAAGCCAGTGTTCGGGGTTTCGCTGAATGACCTGTACGCCCGGGATGGAACGGCAGTTCCTTTCATTGTGTACCAGTGCTTCCAAGCAGTTGAGCTGTTCGGTCTGGATGTGGAGGGCATCTATCGACTTTCCGGTAGTGCCAATCACATCAGTCACATGAAAGCGGTGTTCGACAATGGTAAGCTTGATCAGACACATGAAGAAATATGGGCAGCTTGCTAACCCTATGAACAGACTCCTCGCAAGTTGACTTTACGAACCCGGAGAACTTTTACCATGATGTCAACAGCGTTGCAGGACTTGCGAAGCAATTCTTCAGGGACCTGCCTGACCCTCTGTTCACCACTCAGTTCTACCAGCAATTTGTTGATGCTGCTCGTAAGTAGTCTTCATGTCGTGGATATAGTATAATCCCGCATTGAGAAACTGACAATGAAACCGCAGGCTTCGATGATGATATCCAACGCCGAGACTCAATGCACGCCCTTATTAACAGTCTGCCCGATGCTCACTATGCTACTCTCCGGGCCATCATCCTGGTACGATCCCCAGCAAAAACCTAATTCTTTTTTTTTTTTTCATCTAGATACTAACCTAGTCCATTGCAGCACCTCAACAAGATCCAAGAACACTATACCCAGAATCGCATGAACGCGGGCAATATCGCCATTTGCTTCGGGTATGTCCTTGCATATTCCACATTCTCTACTGAGACGTTATCAGATACAGACCCGCTAATTCTCGCTATAGACCAACCCTCCTGGGCGCCAATTCCGGCGGCAGCATAGCCGACGCTGGGTGGCAGGTTCGTGTCGTCGAGACGATCCTGAATAACACATTCCAGATCTTCGACGATGATTGATCAGTTCGCCCCCGGCCCGTTCCCAGTTTCTTTCTTGGTTTTTTTTTTTAATTGGAATATGGGCGTTGGTCCGTGGACCCACGTATAATGATGATCTTGATGCATCGCTTCTCGGTGCTCTTTTGAACCTCTTTTCTTATCCATTCGTACCTCTTGTTCCTGTGTGTGCCGGTGTTTCCACGGAGTGATATCTGTGCTACACATTAATACTGTGTCTTTTGGGCCTTCCGATTGTACATATACATACTGTCTAGTCCTTTTAGTTTTGACTTTTGCCGGCCATGAGCAACGTATAAACGTGTTACCAATGATGGCAGGTTGAGCAGCAAATATTGGCCTACCTATTTAGTATCATATTAGTAGAAGGTAGACAATATACTCCGGCAATGAAACGCTAAGAAATTGGATAGTTGGCATGGCGGTGTAACCTGTTATTCTTCAACTTGTTCTTTCGCGGATTTCTATTTAGGGCATCCATACAGAATAAGTTTAAAGCTCGAGACTACGTGTTTAGGAAACAGATAGTAGATCGTGGGCAAGACATCCTGAGACATTGATATTCATTTATACAAGTAACGGCTCAAAAGGAAGGTAGAATTTGATCAAAAAAGGTGGCTATGGTACATTGAGAGGTGCAAATGCTTCTATATCAGGGATTTCCGTGTCCAGGAAAGAGAACAGACCAGAAGAGAAGCTGACCCGAGCCTCTGTCCAGTGTTGGGCCCAAAATGAGGAGTTCCAAGGTTGCTAAACAAGTAAGACAAACAGGTGAAATAATGGATATTGTATCACAATTTGAAATGCGACTCAAATTTACTTCTGGCCCATCGATTCCTTGATCATATCCAGACGCTCGAGGGCCGACAAGCCAGGCATGAAGTAGGGGTTATTCCAAGCCTCATGCAATGAGGTGGGACTGATGTGGCCCCATACTCTCCAGCCCTTATCCTGGTCGTTCCAGCGGAGATGCTGAATGACAATGTGTTCGACACAGTCCTGCTCCTTGGCGGAAACAGTGTCTCCCGTGGGTTCCTTTGCGCTGGTGCTCTGGACCTGAGTCGTGGTTGTGGACTGTCGGCTCGTGATGCGCACGACAATTTGACGGATACCGGATTTCGGGATGTCGGGGATGGATGTGGCGCGATCTGAAATGACGCGAAGGCCGGTGAAGTTTGTGCTTGGCCTACGCAGGTATTTCACCAGTTTCCAGGTCACTTGCTCATTCTTCGGGCGGCGTTCGATACCCGTGCTGAGTTGCTTGACGAGATTGTCGCAGCAGATCTGGCGGATTTTAGGAATGTTGCCTCTATAACAATTCATAACGGTTAAGTCCCGCGCAAAGATAATTGACGAGAAGGCGCATGCTTACTGGGCAAATGCTGTGTACATATCCTCCTGGAGCTTTGCGGCGAAGTGGCGGCGCTTGCTTAGAAGAAGTGGAAGGGTGTTTTCGCGCTTGCAATATTGGAGCAGACTGCAATATAGTTAGAAAATATAATCTTTGTAGTTATATATGATATATGCAGCTCTTGTTCAACGTAACCGCCACGAGAGCGATATAGCACCGGATATTCCGAGGATTCGGGGGAGAACTAACCTGGCATGGTTGCTCAACCAGGCCTTAAGCCATGTCCATTCCATATGCCATCTATCGCGCGGTGCCGTGAAAACTGAAGGCATATCCCTCCACAACGGTCGGACAAAGGTACCCGGTAATATGCCGATGTCATTTGGCAGATCGGCCAGCTTCATGCCCTGGGTTCTGGTTTTGAAGGACGGCTGCACTTGGCTTGGAGGGCGGAAATTCATTTGTCTCCCACGCCATTGCTGGGAGGTCTCGGAGAAGGCCCGACATTGGACGAAGGAACCAGATGGTGTAATCCGAGTGGATGTGCCCGCGGGCATTCGTAGGGTAGACGCCATTGCGAATCGGGTTGAGTAAAAGAAGTTGGTTCCTGGCCGAAGAACAGAAATCCGCGGAACTGTCGGTCACGTGTATCCACTCCGCAGGTTGACAGCAACAACTAGACAGGGAATGCTTTGTGAACGACGCGCCCTCTTATCGAGGCTACAGCTTATATCTTCCTTGCTTTTTTCTTTAATACTACTGTCATGTGTAAAAAAGAAGTTGAATGTATAGAATTAAACTGCCCCCCGGAAAAAAGACACCGCCCGCCATACTGGGTCTGATATCTGCCAATTAGGGGACTCACAAACAGCTTGACAACAACCGAACTTTGAATCTTATTGAGAGCGAACGACTCGATCGTAACGCTCATCTATACCCCTTCCACTCCTTGCGTGGCGGCCGCATATGCCGCGATTCAGAATAAAGGCTGGCTCCTCAACGTAATGCCTCTCCTCCACCATACACTCGCCACGACTATCCACACCAACATCCACAGCGTGGTCCAGACTTGAATCTCGCGCGATCGGCTCTTCCGCCGAGCTACCTCAACACTTCCCCTGAACTACTACAGAGCCAGTTGGCTAAAGAGGTGGCTTCTCCATCTGTTTCGACTGTGCCGCCTTCCCCGACCTCCTCTACGTCCCATACCCCACTCAGCAGCGATGGCCCTCCGTCAGCACTGCATCCGCGGGTCGCTGTCATACTTGGGGTAGACCGCAGGTGGTATATTCCCCTGCTGGTATGTCGGGCTCTGAGCACGCTTCCTGCTGCCTGGTGGGGTTTACGATGCGCCTTTACTTTCCTCGCTGAGTTGCTGCACATAAGGCCGGGTATGGGACGAGAGGGTTGGGCGGCGGCGATTGTTGGTAGTGTTGGGCAGGAATGGGATGTTGAGAGGAGGTTCCGTGTGACGGAGGTGGCATTAGCTATTATGTGGGTATGTGATATTCCTACCTTGATATGTAGGGGTGTATATCTTTTTTGATATACTACTTGCTGGTTTCAAACGGCGTACGTTTATACTGACTACTTGACAGTGCTGTGCATCTGCATATCTTTCCTATTTCTTTGCTGATTGCATGATGTCTCGATGGTCAGTTTTATCTTCCCTTGAACGGCGCACTGTCGTCCCTAATGCTAATCTATGATATACTCAGGCTTCTAAACTACACTCCACCAGCCGTTGTGATCCGACTGCTAACAACCAACGGCCTGATTGCGTATATTACTTCTTGGGTCCTTTATCTATCTGGTGCATCCTCTGACCCCCGACTCCTTTTACCGGCATGGATCTCCATAACAACCGTACGTGACCTTCGACTCCCAATTGTTGCTCTACCTTACAACAACCACTGACCTTTCACCTAGTCTTTAACCTTTGTCTACCACGCAACACAAAACCATGCAACCATCAAACGCGAAACAGCAGCATCGCTACTAGTAGTTTCTGTTGCAAGCTTCCTAAGCATGTCCTCACTCCTCATGCAGTTACATTTGACTCGTGAAAACGAACCAGAAGTGCCTGTCTTCGTCATCACCCGCAAGCTTTGGGACTGGGCTGTGGCTATCTTCCTGCGAATGCGAGTTGCTGATGACCGTATTCCTATTGGAGAGCTGTAGTTTGCTTACTTGCCTACTGGCTGCTGGACTTTCTTTTCTTTTTCTGTTTCGCGATATCTTACCGAACTGATTTCCACAGTCTCGACAAGCTGGACAAGCGTTCTTGGCTAGACAGTGGACGATTTGTACATTTTTGGGATTTGATTTTGATTTTGATTTGAGTTGAAGACTCTTTGTCTTTGGGTCTTTGGACTTTGTCGCGCTTTATACCCCTGGCCTAGGGATGTTTCTTTTCAGACATGGCGATCTTTGATAGATCTAATCTATTATTTTTGTTTCTTGATTGATTCACAATGCGAGATTCCATCCTATCAAACTAATATGATAGATTGAGATCAAATTCTTATCTCGAATTTACGTTATGTTGCTGCATAAGCTGGGAAGATTAGATATACTGGATAACAGTTCAATTTCCTTGTTCCCAAGTAATGGACTGCATCCCCAAGAGAGGGGCAACAAAAGAGTGAGAACAGCATAAAAATTAAGTAGACGGTAGAGACCGAGATAACGGTTCAGCAAAAGCACGCCCTTAGTTCAACCTGGATCTCCTCGATCAGCCAGACTGACAAATTGACCATGGGAATGCAATGGCAATGAGCAAGACAGGCAAAAGCAACCCCTCCCCAAAGGATAAAAGAATGGAAAACACACGCGAAGTAATGAAAAGAAAAAAAAAGTGTTGTCTGTCTATGCAGATAATGGGTATCTACCAACTCCTCGTTCCGTCATAATCCCGTCCTTAGAATAGCGGTCGAACCACCCCGCTCTCCCTGCCGATCATGCGGGAACGATAGGCAGGAGGCACACAGGTGTAGCGGGTCATTTCGACGAAGGGCCCAGGTCTAACACGCCAGGCACAAAGTGGTGGGGGGAGAAAGCAAGACATTCGATCGATGTTAAGGCCAGTATTGTATACGGCCGGCGGATGAGGGATGCTTCCTATCCCACCGCTCACAGGGCAACATAAACCGGGAAGAGGGGACTGGAACAAGGTATGATGTTGGTGATGGGATTAGAACCCGTGGACCTAGAATATAACAAATTAGAATATGGTAATGGTGATGAAGAGCAGGTACTGGGACAGCGACATACCTTGATGGTCTTGGCATCAAGCTCGAGTCCCTCCTTCTTGTCAGTCAAGAACTCCTGAACATCCTTTCTCTGGTCTCCCTGCAGCTGAATCACCTCGCCCATCTCGGTGTCAGAGACGATGGTGCCATTGCAAGCTAAGAGATTGTTAGAATTTGGGCCAGACACACATGCACAGGTTACAAGACATACCGAATTTCTTCTTGATGACCTTGAGAATCTTCTTCTGGTCGAACTTCTTGGGAAGTCCCTGAACAGTGGTCAGAGTCTTGCGACCATTGCGTTCTGTTGTGAAACAAGCGGTTAGCATGTACCCCCTTTTAGCGCCGGCGAGTCGCAAAAGTAGCCATGGGCGGTGAGAGTAGGAGAGTAAACGTACGCTGAATCCGTATGTGGATATAGTTCTGAGACTGTTTAGTCTCGCCGGTATCTTCGTCGGCTTCGGCGAAGGGGTCTGTAAGATGCACATGTCAGCCTCAGTCCAGTACCGAATTTCTACCCCGCCGCCGTGTGACTTGGTAGGCCAGAGGTGGGGAGAGCTGAAATCTACAGCGTTTGACACTATACATGACGAAAGAGGTATGCCTCTTTCTCATACGTAGTGAACATAGCTGTGGGTATGCGTGGGTGTGGGGGTGAAGCCCGATACGCGCCCAGGAGGGGGAAGTGGCGAACTTACCGAAGGTCTTGAGGTTTTCGATGGACATAAACTCGGCCTTTTCGTAGTAAACGGCGTTTAAAATGGGTATTGATGAAGTGAACGAAGGGCGAGATTCAATATCTCTGTAAAAGATCGGAGCGTGTGTGGTGAGGAGTGAGGAGATGCTGTGGTAGAAGAATGGGAGAGAAGAAGTGGCAGAGCCTTTTGAGGCAAGAGTCACGTTGTGGGGGAAGGCGGTGTGTGACTAAGCGATACTCATCCAAATAGCCATGAACATTACGATAATGTGCGAGAACTACAAGAACTAGCAGGTGGATATCATATACAATTTTAATTCAATCTAGCAAATAATGGCAATTATGGTGGCAAATAGACTAGCTCATCTATGATCACAAGGGCAGCACTCGGTTTGAATAGTGGTACATCGTGGCAAGAATAGCTAAAGGCGGGGATCTCTCAATCCAGACTCAGAATCTGATGACCCGCGAACAATTAATCCATCATAGTTCAGATGATAAGGCTGGGAGATTATGATGCGTATGTAAGAGGATATTAGGAAGGTTCGGGCGTTCAGGAGGCCAGCGGAGTCGGTGCGGCGGCGCCGGTGGTACCCCCAGGAGCCTGCGGAGGCAAGAAGAGAGGGAAATAGGTCTGCAATGGTTTGTTAAGCTGAGTGCATCGGAATCCTGTAGGCTCGAGATACATACGACAACCAATGCCATTACTATACCACGCCAAGATATTAGTTCCTGCAAGCAAAAGAGGGGCACGGAGAGGAACGAACAGGACATGAGAACCGACATGTAGGCCGGTGTAGAAGCAGTCTTCTTCTGCTCTGGGGATTCACCCAACCAGGACTGAAGTGAGAAGACGAAGGATACCCTGTTTCCGAGTCAGATAACCTGGTCAAGGTCTTTGACTGCTCGCATTGCTCTTACCATCCGATCATGCTGCGTCGCGAATCTGGTCAATAATATCCATAGCTTGTGTAAGACGCGCGACTCACCGGTTCCGAGTAAACATCTAAGAGATCATGGTCAGAGTCAAGTTATCGCGAGGTCAGATGTTGGGGTAACGACTTACGGCGGCCATAGGCATAGTGCTCGACATTGTGCCTGTTGTACAGCTCAATCAGCCTTCATAATTCTCGCACTAAAAATATGTCATTGCTGAAACGAAGGTGTGGGCGTACTGGAGATATCGGCATCGCTGCTGCTCTTGGGCGGATCGACATAGGGGATCGCTTTTCAACGTTAGCTTTGAGGAACCAATACTTGAAACAATTATTCCACTCACCGAGATCAGCCCTGCGCATATCTTTCTTTGACGACATTGTGTTGAGATATGATATTATGATGATGGGTTGAGGTAACCAGAAGGATCGAACTGGCCAACCCCCGTGCCAAGGCGGTGCCAGTCTGGGCTAGACCGAGAACACCCCGGATTGAATATCTCCGATGGAGGACCATAGATACACACCTCTTATTCTTATTCTTTTTTCTTTTTTCTTTTTTCTTTGTACTTTGAATTATTTTATGCAATAGTATCTTCCATATCTTCTATTCTGTATCTCCCAAATGGACTATCATTGATTAATTCCCCAAGTTGAGAACACTACAGGGATCAGAATAGCACAAGCAGATCAACG